CTCTGCCCCGGGATTGGGAGCTCAGAGTTTGGTCACTGCGTGGTCACACATGGCCATGGAGGGACCAGGATGGGGACCAGGACCAGGACTGGGACCAGATCCGGGGCATGAACCAGGACCAGGATCAGTATTAGGACCAGGACCAGGACTGGGATCAGATCCAGAACCAGGACCTGGCAGACAGGCATAAGAAGACGAATTAGGGACACCCCTAATTCGGGTGGGTGCTGTGTCCCCCACGTGCCCCCCACGTATGTCCCCGTGTGTGTCCCTCACCTGGAGCCTGGCGGCAGTAGCTGAAGGTGCCAGCGGCAAAGACCACCAGCCCCAGGGTCATTATCACCGCCGCCACCGCCACCTTCACCGTCAACCCCGGGGACAAGCCGGGACCTGCGGGGACAGAGCAGCTGCGCTGAGCCAGCAGGGACCCAGGCATCTGGGTGCCACGTCCCCGTCAGCTGTGCTCACCCCAGTGCTCCCGGAGGGGCCAGGCCAGGCTGGCATGCTGCACTGAGCACGTGAAGGTGTCCCCAACCTCGGCGGTGACCGTCAGGGCCACCTGCGTCTGGTAGGTCCAGTCACCGTTGGGCAGGAGCTTGGCGGTGTGCCCCGTGGCCACCGTGTCCCCGTTGTGCAGCCAAAGGACGGTCACCTCGGGGGGGTAGAAGCCCCAGATGTGGCAGGTGAGGAGGACGGAGTTGGGGGTGTTGGAGAGGGGGACAGGAACGATGCGGACTTGGGGTGGCGCTGGGGTGGGGAGGGGACAGTCAGCGCCAGGGATGGTCCCCTCCCCACCCCACGTGGCGTCCTGTGTGGTGGCTGGTGTAACAGACCACGCAATGTCCCCGTGCGATGTCCCCATGCAACATCCCTGTGCATTCCCCATGCGACGTTCCCACACATCACCCTGTGCAACGTCCCCGTGCAACACCACCTCCAATGCCCCGTACAGTGTCCCTGTGCAACAATCCTGTGCACTCCCTGTGCAATGTCCCCACGCATCACCCCGTGCAACACTGCATTCAATCCCCCGTGCAATGTCCCCACATCTTTCCCATCCAATGCCTCGTGCAACGCCCTGTGCAACACCCTGTGCAATGCTAAGTGCAACAGCCCATGCAACACCCATGCAACGCCCTGTGCGACACCTCATGCAACGCTCCGTGCAACACCCCATGCAACACCCCGTGCGACACG